CAGGGACTTCAGAGGCTCTCAGGCTGGAGCCGGCACACCGCCGCTCTGGATGGAGCCCAACATCCGGGCGAGCTCCTGGAGATCCTCCGGCGACATCCGAGGAGGCGAACTGGCCGAGCTGCTCGCTGCTGCCGCCATCGCCCGGTTCTCCTGGAGCAGGCCCCTCACGCCCTCCCACGTGCGCTCGTTCGCCCTCTGCTGTGTCTCCAGGCAGACCTTCATGTCCGACAAGGCGCGCATCATCTCGCTGTTCGTCATCGGGCGAACGTCCGCGCCACTCACCTGCTGCGCGTACCTCTTGCTCACCTCGGCGTCCGGCGGCGGCTTCTTGTAGGGGACGTAGCCCTCCTCCGTCGAGACGTAGAGGTTGTCCGGAACCTGGCCGAGGTTCTCCGCCGCGGCGCTCCTCGCCTTGGGCGTCTTCTTCGGCGGGCTCCTCAGAGGCGGGGTCGGCGTCCACGGGTCGCCCGTGGCCGCGTGAGCCTCGAGGAGGTCCTTCTCGTAGCTGGCGATCGCCTGGGCTGTGACCGCCTTGTTGGCCTCCCGAAGCTCCTTCGCCTTCGCCTTCACGGCCTTCTTCACCTGGGCCCGAGCCTTCTCCTCGTCGGTCTTGGAGCATAGCATCAGACGGACATCGCACATCCGGCAGAACGTGTACCAGCTCGTCGCGTTTCCGCTCGACCACTGGGCCCACGGAGGGTGAGGGCACACGCTCGGGTCGATCGCCCCCGCGCCCGCTCCCTGGAGCACCAGCGGGAGAGTGCCCGCCACCAGCTTCATGTCGTCGCAGACCTTGATGCACCCCAGGATCCTGAGCCCGAGCGACCTCCACCGCGACGCCGGCGGGTCGAACCTGAGCTCCCCAGCGTTCAGCATCTCGATCTCCCCCTCGGAGAGCGCCTCGGCAGCCAGCACGTCGTTCAAAGACACGTCCGACAGCTTCTCCCAGCTCTCCTCTGCCATCGGAGCCGGGGCGTTCGGCAAGCTCGACGAGCGCCGACCTGGACTCGCCGACGACGATCGTCCCTTCTGCACCGTCCTGCGCGGCTTGACCTTCGTCGAAGACATCCCGGCACCTGACTCTCGGTGCTAGGGTCGAGGGAACTGAAAGAGAAGCTTGAGCCGAGAGAACTCCGGACCCGGGGGGGTTCGGCCCGCTGCTCACCCCAACCCCTATTCTGGGAGCCTCTCGAGCCCCGCACGTCGATCCCCTGGAGTCAGCAGGAGTGGGTGAGGAGACATCTGAACTGAACACGTGTCCTAGCTTGCCTCCTACATGCGTTCCCTCACTGCCCGATCCCGTCCCGTCCTGGATGCGGACGTCGCGGCACTCCGCCGGCAGCCGCGCCAGGACCTCTGCGTCGACGCTGAACTCCGAGGCGTCGCACCAGATCAGGCTGACGGACCTGTGGCCTGAAGGGCGACGCAACAGCGGCCTCGTCACTCTCTGTCCATCGACGCCGTTCACCGCCATCGTGTTGAGGCGTAAGTCCACGACGCCGCCGATGGCCTCCAAAAGCCTCGCGGGCAACAAAGGCGGACAGCGATTCTCGAGAATCAGGAACTCGACGAAGCCACATCCTGCCAGCGACACCGGGACCCATGCCTTCCCGATGGGTCTGGCCTGACCTCCGATGCCCGACGCCGTCATCCCGGGGACCTCGCCGAAGTGCACGTGAATGTGAAATCCCTTCTCCGCGAAAGCCTCCTTCATGATGCGAAGGTCCTCTTTGCCAACTAGAGCCTGACCTGCGGCGGTATCGACCAGTGCACTGTCCACCATGTTGCGCAGGGTCGGGATCTGCTGCGTACTCTTGATCGTCTCAAAGAGGCCTGTCCAGTCGAGCACTGTCCACGGCGTCACGACACTGTTCTCAAAGTCGAAGGTCACGAGATTCACGAAGCCGTCGCTATCACCGTTCTCGAAGAAGAAAGACTTGGTGCCAGGCGTGTCCTTGCCGCGGCGCTCCTCGGCCAGGCGCTGCTCCTTCGTGCGGTGTGGTTTCTTGCATGTCTCGGCCCAGTGCCCACGGTCGCCGCAGTTGGCACATCGAGACCTTTTGCGAAGATCAGCTCCTGTTATCCGCTTGAATCCTGGCCGTGTCGATCTTCGTCTGTCAAAGAAATCTCGGTCTATCTTCTTATTGGCTTTCATGCGCCTGGCTTCTTGCCACGTCCTTTTTCTGTCTTTGCCTAGTTTGTCCTCAATAACCGCTGCCAGCACCATCATCAACTCGGACTCCTCTAGATCCTGGCCTTCTAGAGCCGTGAGAAATGTGTCGGCGTCCTCTTCTGGCAATTCAAACGAATCATCGGGCCCTTCGAAGTACGAGTCCACGTCCACGTATGGCTGGGGAGGAGGAGGAGGCTGCTCGGCCAGATCTATTTCCACGTTGTAGGTCTTGCTCGCACTGCCGCTCGCACCCGGCAGCATCGACTTGTCTCTGACGTCCAGCAGTAGCAGTCCCTGTCGGATGGATGCTGCGTCGCTCTTTCCGCCAGCCAGTGTCTTGAGCATCATCCGATTCTGAGGCGTGAGCTGAGCGCCCTCCTCCAAGTACCTGGCCTTCACTGAGTCCGGTAGAGCAAGCCCGAACTTCTCCGCCTCTGCCGTCTCCGCGTCCCTTCTGAGCACGAAGTCTGTGAGGTTCTCGCCTCGCCTAATTCCATGATTGAACAATGCTGCGTTGTGAGCTTCCCGCTCGCGGTCGCCCGGCCTTTCGCCGTTGAGCACAGAGAGGTGTTCTGTCAGTCTGTCCAGCCCGTCTTCTCCGTCCAAGGTAGAGCGAATGGCCAAGAATCTCTGCTGGATCTCTATGGGCAGATTCTCAAGGACTTTTCCTGCTCTCTGCGACTCAAGATATCCTGTTCTGGAAGCCCACGACTGCAGGTTCAATTTGTATATCTTCAGATTCTCGAATCCTACCCAGGCCGGGGGCGCTCCATAATCACGTGACTGTGGTGTCCACGATGCTTTCCATGACCACGAGTCACCTCGCCACCCGTCGTCGTCGTCCTTCGACGCCTGGCGCCACTTCTGCCAGGGGTCGTTCTCGTCTGCGTCGTCCTGCCACCAGCGAGCCGACCAGCCCCAGCCGTCTTGCTCGCCTCGTCGGTGATGCCTGGGGCGCTGGCCCCCGTCACCTGTCTCACCGTCTGCGCCACCGTCGGTCTGGCATTCTGCATTCGTGTGCGTGCTCCTCACGCGCTCACCCTCTCCCATCACTGCGTACGTCTCTCGATCGCTGTCCGGCCCCGCAGCCACGCTCCGCTTACCATTGTCAGCCCCATCGTCGGGCATGGCGCACTGAGAGACTGGGGTGGGGACAGGATGTTTTACATAGCAGCACGGGGAAAGGAGACGCAGGTGCACTAAGCCTAAAAGGCTGGCGACGGTGAAGCCCGAAGCGGAGGGGAGCGGGAGAGGGGAGCGACCCGAGAGACGCACGAGGGGGACCCAAATTAGAGATGGGGGACACATCTTCATCATCACGATTATCCTCAACATCATCAGCATCCTTATCAATGTCATCATCAGCATCAACAACAGCAGCAACATATTCGTCAATACCATTATCGTAATCCTCCGCCTCACCATTAGGATAACCACACGTACCCTCGTCAACACCACCATAATCATGATGTTCAGCACCATCCTCGTCACCATCATCATCAGCATCATGGCCGTCGTCATCGTCATCGTCATCGACATCATAACCATCATCACCACCTTTAACCATGTTTAGCATCATCATCATCCTCTTCATCCTCATCATCCTCATCACCATCATCATCACCATCGTCATCATCATTTGTCATCATCATCATCAGCATCATCATCAGCAGCAGCATCCTTGGCATCGTTATCACCATCATCCTCTTCTTCATCTTCCTCATCATAATCAACAACAACAGCAGCATCAGCATCATCATCAGAATCATGATCAACACCACAAAACCATCATACGTATCCCCCTGATGCCGATGTTCTTCCTCAGCCCATTCATCCTCATCATCCTCTTCCTTCTCTTCATCCTTCTCCGCCTCACCATCCTCAAGCAAATATTCCAAGAAGCCCCCTCGAACGTCCTTTTGGGGGAATTATGACTCCCGAGAATCCCCAAAGACACTCCCCAGTTGCACGAGGGGTTTCTCAAACAGAGCCCTGACATTACAAGCCGTCCAGTTGTCCTCGGTATCCTCCTCCTTTCCCGCCCTCCTCTCCCCGTCGTCGTTGTCTGTTTCGTCCTTTTCTCCTTCTCCCCCATTCCCCGAATCCCAATATGAGAAAGATATATCGACCATCCGCGACGTCACTCCGGGAGCGTCTCGCTTCATGCTCCCACCCGAGAAGCGCAGGTTAAGTGAGCCACATGCGCGGAGTAGCGACTGCGCGGCGGCAACTCCCCCCACGCACCTGGACACTTGCAGGCATCCCATGCGCGCGACGACGTCCAAAAAACAGCCAGTAAGCGCCCAGAAAACTCTGACGAGGCTTCAAAACGCCCGCCAGGACGCCCACAAGGCCTCATTTCGTCTGGGGGGCGGTGGATTGGATATTCCACAAAACCCCCCAAAATGTTCCTAGGAGGCCAAAAACTATTCAAATCCAAAGGGAATTGAATAATTTGGGCATGCCACCTGGGAGGGCCCAAAACGATTTCTGGAAAACCTTCGGGAAACCCAAGTCGGCGCCCCACTGGTCCACGAGGCCTCCCAAGACGGCCCCAGGACGACCCATGATCACCCAAGACCTTCCCCAGGCAACCCTGGGGCGCCCCAAGAACAGATCGAGACGGCCCCGACCCTTCGCCAGATAGCCCCGAGACCCCCGAGACGGCTTCGGGACTTTCCCCTCAACATCCAGACCAGTCTCACAACCCCCAGCAGAACGCCCCTAAGAAACCCCCGAGGGACTCAAGAGGGAAGGAAGAGGAGACGGAAGAGGAGAAGGAGGGGTGCGAAAAGGAGGAGGATGGGGAGGGTCAGGGGGAGGAGGCCTGCACGGCGTCATTCAGGTCTGGCTCCGTCAGGATCTGCAGGCTCTGACCCCCATCGATGTGCTTGTAGATTATGTCCTGCTGGCCGAGGGGGGAAGAGGAAGAGGAAGAGGAGAGGGAGGAGGAGGAGGAGGATGAGAAGGAGGACAACGACGACAAGGAGGAGGAGGAGGAGGAGGATAATAAGGAGGATAATAACAAAACAAAAACAAGAGGAAGCCAGCGGGGGTGGGGAGCTGGAGGAGGAGGGGGAGGCGGCGGCGGAGGGGGGCGGGGAGTGGATTGGAAGTAGGAGAAGGAGAAAAGATGGGGGAGAAGGATACTAGCCGGCCGCTCTGCACTTGATCAGAAGTTTCTGTATATAGAAGACGGGGCGTGCACCTGTTCTCGACGACGAGCGGGCGGCGGTGGTGCGGCGGGTGAGGATCTGAAGGGTGAGGATCAGGAGTGTGAGGCTCACGAGCTGGAGGTCCCTGGAGGTCATCCGTCCTCCTCGTCCTCTTCCTCCTCCTCCTCCACATTCTCGTTCTCTCCTCCTCCTCCTCTTCCTCCTCCTCCTCCTGCTCCTCCTCCTCCTCCTTCTCCTCTCTCCTATTCTCTCCGCCCGCCTTCCTCCTCCCTCCTCCGTCCTCCTGCGTCTTCCTCCCTGCTCATCCTTCTCCTTCTCGTGCTCGCCCTCGTGCAAATCCTCGTTTTCGTCCCCATCCTCGCCCGGTGCACCTGGTGCGCCTGGCGCGCCCGGCGCCTCGCCGGAAATGGTCCCTGGGGGTGCGCTGGGGGCCTGTGGGGCGATTCTGCGAAGATGTCTCGAGCGAGGGGCCCAGATGGGGACACGCCCCGGTGCGCCCGGCGCTTCTGTCGCATCGCCAGAAATTGATGGGCTTGTTTTCCATCACCACCACCATAAGTTGGAGGGGGGAAGGAGGAGGAGGGTGAGGAGGAGTAGGACGAAGAGGAGGAGGAGGAGGATGAGGAGGAGGACCCCGCCTCCAACTAATGGTGATGGTGGTGGAAAACACGCCCATCAGAAATGGTCCCTGGGGTGCGCTGGGGGCCCCTGGCGCGATTCTGCGACGGAGTCTCGAGCGAGGGCGGCGCCGGATCGGGACAAGCTCGGAGGCGCCCGGCGCGTCGCCGGAAGTGGTCCCCGAGGGTGCGCTGGGAGGCGACTCTCTCGCGCGCCGGGGGTCAGGATGACGCGAGTTCCACAGAGGCTCCCTCAAATGAGGATATCGAAGACGTCTTGCGCCTTGTCGACAGAGCTGTCAGTAGCCGAGCGAGGCGGGAGGAGCGCCAAAAGACAACCCGGCAGGGCCCAGACAAAAGTAAGACCGCAAAGCAAAGAAGCACTCATCACCAGCTGAAGAGGTGGTCGGTTGTACACAAGAGGCTGGCTCCACGGCCACATGGACTGCCTTCTGGGCAGCGTATCCAGATTCCTCCTCCTCCTCCTCCTCCTCCTCCTCCTCGGCGATCCTCGTCACTGGCCCCACTATAACATCAGCGTCATCATCAACAACATCGTCACCATCACCCTCAACTTCGTCATCACTCATTCTCATCACCATCGCTAACAGCAACGTCCTCCTAATCAGTATCATTATCCGCCTCCTGGTCCGGCGCAAAGGGCACGCGGGGCCTCACCGCCAGACGGAGCTCTGAGCTGCCAGCCAGGCCTGAGCTGCCAGCCCAGGAACAGCCCCACTCCAGGAGGACGCAGTTCACTCGCCTGCACCCGTCCTGGCCGCACCCACCCTGGACCTAGGGTCGGTGCATACGCCCCACTGGACTGGCCATAAAAGTACATGCATCGACCGTGGGCCCGGCACTGGCCCGGCACTGGCCTGGCCAGGACCCGTGTTAGGTGTGCAGGTCGGCCCCCCCCAACTCCACCTCGACATCCTCCCCTCTCTGCTGCCCCTGAACTCCTCACACAGCTTTACGAACAAGCCCTTCAAGCCTCTTGGGCAGCGAAGCGCCGCCGCTGCCGCCTCCCGCTGCGACCAAAACCTGTGCACGCATGCTCGCTCATTCCCGTTAGCCCTCCTCGTCCATCGACGGGAGCTGCGCGAGCGGCCAGAGATGAGGGGCGTGTCGCCCAGAGACCCAGCAGGAAGGGCGACACGAAAGGGTCGACGCCGCGCGTGCACGTCCCCTGCGCTTCGGCTCGCGCGAGCGCTCACAACGTCGGCACCCAGCGAGGGGAGAAGAGCGGACACCGGTCGAGGGGCGGCAAGCCGCGGCAGCCCCAGGCGGGCTGAGGGAAGCGAGGAGAAGCCAAGGCTGCAGGCAGGCAGCAGGAGAGCACGGCGGTAGACCGAGGGAGGGGGAAACACGGCAGGTTCACGTCGCGACGACGTCGGCGTCGGTTTCTGACACCGTGTGGATCGTTCAACCTCGAACTATTGCGGCTTTCTGGTAGCGCAAATCGGTCGACATCTTGCGATTCTGGGCCACTGGCGGAACTTGAACGCCCAGGCTGGGGCCGCCGCCGCGTAAGCGCGACGCGAACCTGCAAGGAGGAGGGCGAGAAGGACTCGGGCCAGCCAGGGGGATTCCCAGGAGGTCACGCGGCACGCCAGGTGTGCCCTTCCGAGAAGGCCTTCGGCACCAGCGACGGGGCGCACGTAGAAGCTCACGCCCGTGAAGCCCGCAACAGATTGCAAAACAAACCAGCCGCAAGATCGGCGCAGCTCGGGGCCGAGTCTCGTAACACATTTTTGCCTCCTGAAGGGCTGTTATTCGAAGGTGGCCGAAACTCGAATACCGCCGCACATGGAGAAGAGACAGAGGGGGAAGGAGGAAAGAAACGGGAGGATGGAGGGGGATGAAGAGGAAGGAAGATGGGGGAGAAGATGGGCATCGACCATGGGAAAGAAGGAATAGTGAGAGGAGAAGGAGAAAACGGGGAAGAGGGATGAGCAATGAGGAGGAGAAGAATGAGAAGGAGGGGAGGAGAAAGGAGGAGGGACGAATGAGGATGGATAGCGGGGGGAAAAAGAAAAGAATGAGGAACAGAGGGAGGAGGAGGAGGAGGAGGAGGAGGAGGAGGAGGAGGAGGAGGAGGAGGAGGAGGAGGAGGAGGAGGAGGAAGAGAAGGAGGGAAGAAAGACAACCGTGACCGCAGACGGCAGCGGGAGAGCCGCGGGCGGAACGGGAGCGGCGAGCAACGCAGCAGCGCGGCAGACCCATGGCGGGCGGGTGCGCGCGCGCTGGAGTCCACCAAAAAGCGATCCAGGAGCGCGCGGCGAAGGAGGAGGAAAGAGGAAAAGGAGGAGGAGGAGGAAAATGAGGAGGAGGAACAGGAGGAGGACAGGACAGGACAGAACATCCGCATAAAGGGGGTCAGCGTCAACACACCTAGACTGGGGCCTTGCGCGCGTCTGGCAAAAGCCCCTGCGATTTGGTTGCGCAGCGGCCCTGACTTCTCACTAAGGCCGGCAAGGTGCATACCCCGAAACTTCAAGGGGTGAGCTCCGAGGTGGCCCCGTACGAGAGGCTCGCTACCTTGTGAGTGCAAGCCCCTGCGGGTCAGTGCGGGGGGAGCAGCTGTCGGTCCTTCCGCGCGCCCGTGGGCTTCGGAACGCGCTGGGCGAGCAGGGCCCCCAAGCAAGGGGGAAGAGACGACGACGCGACCACTCAAAAGGAGAAGAGGAGGAGAATCGGGCGGCCCCTGCTTTCCAAACTTCTGCTGGAGGGGCCGAATTATGCCAGTGGCTTTATGCGATCCTTTCATCTCATCTCTCTCTCACTCTCTCGGCTCATTTGCAGAGCGAATTGGCCGATAGTTGACCCGTGCGTCGTCGCATCTGTACCCTAATACCTTGCAGTAGCATCCCACTGTTACCCCTCGAAGTGTAGGTGGGGAAGAGCATGCTGGCACTCGCGGTATGCTGGGGGTGGCTCCCTCGAGGATGCGCTCTGGTGGCCTTCGTGATTATCGAATTTGTCCCATTCCTCACTCCCTGCAGTAGTGTACCTGTCTGCGCTCTAAAAAATCACTTCCCAAGGCGTCGTCTGCGCGAGCACTCTCTTGAGGGCCCTCGCGCCGAGATGGCCCCGCTAGCGAGGGCCCCACTGAGTCTACCCGCCCAGCCTGTCTAGATTCGCACTCCGAGAGATCCTCGCTAATGCGCCTCATGGCGTTGTCAGTGGGCTCTCTCGCTTGCGGCCGCCGGAGCTGGCCGCCTCCTCCGACCTGGCATACTTTTCGAAGATCTCGGTGCCGTCCAGCAGGGTATGCCGACGCTTGTTTAAACCTTTTTGTTCACTTCCTCTGGGTCGACTGCGTCCTCGCCCCTCAACTCCTTCCAGGCGACTTTCATGGCGCCGTAGAGGCCCCCCCCGTCATTCTTCGATATCTTGAGCGCCAACTCGCACCAGCTCTGTGTAGTGGCGGCTTTCCTTCCAGCAGCTTCCCGCGCGCCCACTGGGCACCAGGCGACGAATGCGCACCCGTTGACATTGTGCGTCACGGGGAAGGACATTGGGATCAGCTCGAGGAGCTCCTCTGGGCTTATCTCCTGGGCGGCGTCGTAGAACTTGCAATGGTCATCCTTGATGGCGTCGCATAGCTTCTGCGGCAGCCTGTCCGCAACGTGCGCTTCCCACTTCTTCCCCACCTTAAGCTCCACCACCGCCCCCTCTTGCACGGGCGGGACATCGACTGGCACCCGACGCCCGGCCACTTCTCGCTGTCCCTGCCAAAGCCGCCCTTCATATTGTCCACCCACTCTTTCATGGGCTCGTCTTCTGGATGATTCCCCTGCGCCTTCACGAGCTGCGCCCAGTCCACTTTGCACCGGAGCTTCCACTGGCCCCCCCTCGAGTCGGGGCCGGGGCCTTGCCGCCGCAGCTTCTCGGGGAAGGCAAGTCTGCACGAGCAGCCGCTGTCCTCCTTGTTGCCCCATCCTCCGCTACTCCTGCACGCGCTGAACAGCTGCATGTTGTCGCTCCTCTCGCCCGTGAAGTCAAGCGCCGTGAGGCGCTTTGTCTGTTTCTCCCCCACGTTCGTCTTGTAGTCGCCCATCTCGTGCAGCTCCTTCTCTTTTTCCTCCAATTCCGTCTTGGCTGCAGTC